TATGTGTATTTTTCTACAGCTTGTTTTTTCATTTAATATTTTTGTAAGATTTATTTATGTTGTGTGTTGCTGTAGTTCATCAATTTGTCACTGCCCTATAGTGTACCAGTGAGAGAATATGCCACAATTAATTTACCCATTCCCCTGTCCCTGAGAGATAGCTAAGTGTAGAATTACTAGGTCACAGGGTATGTAAATTTTAACCTTATAAGATAGTGCCAAGTTGGTTTTTCAAGTGCTTATACCAATTTGCATGCTTCTCAGAAATGTGGTTCGTGAGAAGTGGATAAATAGGGAGCCTTACATTTGAAGAAAGGAGCCAAAGTACTATTTCTAGTCTGGGTGGAAAAAGTAAAGAAGAAACTGGAATAAGTTTATAGGTAAATAATAGAGGTGCTGTCACATATGATAGTATTTTATAGGCACTGTGTAGGTGGCATGATTTTAGAATTGAAGTTACTTATAGTACTGTCTATCATATATAAATGCATGGTTTAAAGCTAAGACCTTGGAGCAGACAAATCTGAGTTCTAATCCTTATTACTACTTACTAGGTTTATAATCTTGGATATAGGCTTCTCAACACAATATTATCAGACGTCTTAACTGTTCCCATTTATCAGGTTTAAGTGGTGTTTTAGTGTGATCTTAATTTGTGTGCCTGTGATTATTAATGAAGTTGGACTTTAGGTAAAACTACTGACAGAACAGTTGGGAACTAAATTGGGTGGCAGCTACTCTATTTTTAAACAGGCCTGTTTATATAAATAAGCATTTCTGGCATGTGGCCTTCCCATACATAACATTGTCATTAAAATGTAATTCTCATTGAAAAATTAATATTCACTGCCGAAACCGGTTTGGCTCAGTGGATAGAGAGTCAGCCTGTGGACTGAAAGGTCCTGGGTTCGATTCTGGTCAAGGGCATGTACATTGGTAGCGGGCACATCCCTGGTAGGAGATGTGCAGGAGGCAGCTGGTCGATGTTTCTAACTCTCTATCCCTCTCCCTTCCTCTCTGTAAAAAATCAATAAAATATATTTTAAAAAAAAAAAGAAAAATTAATATTCACAAATTTGTTTTTCATTCTAGGCCTAAGTGATACTATGTTTTAAGGTATAAATGGTTTACTATGTTTTATTTGTGACCATTGTTAGTTTTTCCATCAAAGTCTATAGTCTATGCATTCACAAGCATCTCATTAAAGTATGTGTTCTTGACAAACAGAAATCTCGTATTTGAAGAGGGAAGCCAAAGCACAACCATTTCTAGCTTGAGTGAAAAAAGTAAAGAAGAAACTGGAATAAGTTTACAGGTAAATATTATAGGCCTACTATTTGTGATAATATTTATTTTATACTTCATATTATTTTGTTATAGAGACTGTATAGATATAATTTGATTTTCAAACTGAAGTTTGGACTGTCATGTACATAAATTCATGATTTGAAGCTTAGGCCTTGGAATAGAAAATTTGAGTTCTAATCCTGACTCTACCCCTAAGTTGTATAATCTTGCACCAATTACTTAACCTTTCCAACCTTGAGTTCCTTTATTGGAAAGATTGATGTATATCATAGGGTAATTGATACCATGTATTTTTCTTTTTCCTTATAGTACTTAACATTTATAATTACATATTTATTGGTTTACTTATTTATTGTATTGGTCACATCTCAGGCCTTCAATACATTTCTTAATATCTACTCTTAAATTGGCCTGTTCTTACTGAATTTCTGAGGTCAACTTGTTTCTCTAAAATGACAATTTCAACTTCTCTGATCTTTTCTGCTTTGCTTTTGTGTTAGCTTTAGCTTTCCTCCTACTTCTGGAGAAAACGGGTGACATAGACAGGAAATCCCACCACAACCTACTATCATAGAAATCTCCCTGCATCTGCTCCCATCATAGAGAAATGGTTTCTCCTTCTGTCCGCAGACTAATCCTTCTTCCTGTGCTTTGTTTTTCAACAACTCTTTTTTAAAAAAAACCAAAAATTATTGTGCTGTGCCCTCTCTCAACATATCAAACTTTTCCTATTAAAATCATTTTCCTGCAAACTAATACAAAATCATTTTTCTAGTCCCTATGTCTTTTTGTGTGTGTGTGACCTTCTTTTTTCTCCCTTCCCTTCACAGCAAACCTTTGTGAAAAAGTTCTCTATAGTTGGTGTCTCCATTTCCTCTCCTTCCAATCTCTCTACTGAAGTTGCACTTGCTAATGGCACCTGTAAACTTCATGTTACTAAGTCATCTTTCATTCAACATGTTTCTTAACATTTCATTAACACTTGGCACCATCAACCATGCCTTGCTTGAAATATGTTCTATCTACCTTTTTAAAATTCCATTTTCCCAATTTTTCTTCTTCCCTATTTGCTTCTTTATCCTCTTATCCTCTTTTACTTAGTTTTTGGAATATTTTTTGTGTTCCAAGCACTGTACTAGGCTTAAATACTAAATGTTTTAACACTGAGACTTGAATTCATGTTTATGAATAGAAACAGTTTAATTACAATTACGCAGTGATGCCAATATCAATGAGTTTTTATTTAAGCAATATCCTTCAAAGCAAGCACCTTTTAGGCAGTTAAATTGCTTTATCTATTTCCTATGCAATACAGTTTCTTACTTTTTCAATTTTTATTTTTATTTTATTGAGATTATTTTAAAATAATTATCTTTTTCCTGTGTAAATTTCACAGCAAAGATTTGAGTCATCAAACTTCTTCTTTATCCATATCAAATTTTACCAATTATAACATAATGCAGATTTGAGTTTGTGTTTTTTTTTTAACTAAATTCCATTTTCAAGAATCAGACTTTGCTTCAGAACATCATTTTCCCATCAACAGTTTCAGCTATTGACAGGATTATTTGGTGTGTGTTTTTAATGATTATTTTTGCATGTTTTAAAAGCCTAGTCAGTTGGGATTTATTTCTTATCTAATTCATTAAATTGTGAGCAACTCTTCTCAGGTATTAATTTACATTGTCATTCGGTTATCTGGGATCTTTTTGTGTTCCTAATCCAAATTAATATCATATTTTATTTTATAATATAGCATTTATAGTTGAGATTTACATGTTGGTGAACTTCCAATTTGCTAAATTCATAAAGTGATAGTTTTCCTCTTCATTTTTTGTTGTTTCCATGTTTTTAGGATCTGCTCTTAGAAATCTACAGAAGCATAGGGGAGCCAGACAGTCTGTATGGCTGTGGCGGGGGGAAAATGCTACAACCCCTTACTAGGTAAATTGCATTTTTCTAGGTAATGGTATTATAATTCTGTTTGTAAAGGAGTTACATGTAGAACTCAAAGGTATTTTGAAATCTTTAATTATAGACTACGAACATATGAACATGAAGCAATGTGGGAGAAAGCCCTAGTAACATATGACCTTGAGACAGCAATCTCTTCGCCAACACGCCAGGCGGGGATCATTCAGGTATTTTTTTTCCTGTTTTAGTAAAGCACTAAAAGTGTAGTGCTGAGATGATTTCAGTGTGTCAGTGGGATATTTATATAGCCCGATAAATTCTAGGTGTAAGACTGAAATTATGTGTTTTTTCAGGCATTGGGCTAAAAAGTCAGAGGGATGCACAGGTAAATAAGACAGGTCACTGACCTAAAAGATAGTGTTAATGATAATCTTGTTAGCTAATATTAGGAGATATTTCTTGACTTTGTACAGCTAACATATCAAACTCAAAGGCTAACATGGGCCAAATAAACAAGGTTTAAGTTTATGTGGGCCGCAAAAAAAAAAAAAAGTTTCAATTTTCATAGAAACATAGGTTTATTTCGATAGAGACATGCTAAAGACAAAGGACTGAAATAAATGAGTAATCATTAACATAAAATAATAGAACATTTTAATAAAAATTAATATTTTTTCTTGAACATTAAATTACTAGACACTGAATAGCTGCACAAATTAATAAGTGTAACGCAAATAAACCTATTTCTCTTGTTCTCCAAAAGCGAAATATTTCCTGTTGCGCACACCAAACAAGTCAGTCCAAGACTAATGATGTGGCAATCAGCTGCTAAAATATTCACTGGTAGCATTAGTGGAGAGAAATGGTGCGCCTGTGTGTAAGGTGCTTAAGGGAAATGAATGCAACACTATTATAGTAATCAGTCATTAGCGAACATTGTAGTTCGTTATTAATAATTATGTATAACAGGCTATTGTAAAAATTAAGTTATGAAATTTTTATTAAAACATTTCTTGCATACCATTATATTGGCTGGGCTGCAAAAATACTCGTTGTGGGCCACATGCTTGACATGGTTGGTGTACAGTGTGCTAGGTTGTGAATTAAGTCCACCTGGATAATCTCATGTAAACTATTTCTAATAGTTTGCATTAGAGCTGGTCCCAGAAGGTATCATTTCTGTTAGTGGCTACTATTCCTTAACCATTCTTCCATCAAATATTAGAGTCCTTTGAGCTCTATCTTTGTGTTTTGGGGGAACATAGCTACCATTACTTCGGAATTTTAAATGAAATATTGTTCACTACTAAACTTTTTTAAAAGTTACTTTGCGTATTTGATTGTTATATTTTATTTCTAGTTTTCTGTTATCTTTGGTTACTTACTTTTTTTAAAAATTCCTGCTTAGGCCTTGCAGAATTTGGGACTCTGTCATATTCTTTCTGTCTACTTAAAAGGATTAGATGATGAAAATAAAGAGTGGTGTGCTGAACTACAGGAACTTCATTACCAAGCAGCATGGAGGAATATGCAATGGGACCACTGCATTTCTGTTAAGTAAGAAGAACTCTGACATTTTTAATCATCATTTCTCTATTAATAAACAATACACTTTTAAAATATTGCTCTATGAATATAACAGGATTTCTGTTTTTGAGATCTTGCAAGCTGAAGATATGCCTACATGCTTAAATAAGATAGCAATAAGCAGTTGATGTACCTAGACTTGAATTTCACTCTCTTCCATTAAGGCATTTCAACCCCTCCCCCAAGTATATTTGAAAATAGAAATATAAAAAGTATTTTCTCATGAGAATCTTCTCACATATTTATAAATCCAAAGAAAAAATATATCTATTTCCCTCCCCACTCCCTGCTGCAAACATTTTAGTTAATCAGTTAGCACTGTTATTTACTGGATATATACAAAAGACTGTTTACCTTTATTTATGAAATATTTTTTTATAAAAAAGTACTGCTAAATTACTAACACAGGATGATAATATTTGTAGTATCACCTCATTTTCTGAATGAAAAGCCAAATACCTAATTAATAAACAATTTTATATCTATGTTAAAAAGTCTTTTGATGAGGGAAACAACAAAAAATTAAATCATATTAACCGTATGTTTAACTGACTTCATAGAAGTTTTTTGTTTTTTGTTTTTTTACTAATGGGCATTTCTTTCCAATTTCAAACTATTAGATTACTATAAAATTAGAGATATACTTTCATATTTTTAAAACATTATAGTTTATGAGCTTGTTCCTGCCTACTTATATGTCACCATATACTGTTCTTCTTTTGCTTGCTCTATTTGAGCTACAAAGTTCTTTTCTATTTTTTCATCAGGCCAAGCTGTTTCTACCTAAAGGCCTTACATGTATCTTCTTTTTCCCCATTACCATGTGTGTGGCTTCTTGTCATTCAGATTTTAGTTTAATAATATCACATCTCAGAGACACCTTTCTTGACTACCCATTCTAAAACATCGATTCTGTTTTGTTACTCTGTTTTAATTCTCTGCATGTCCCTTATCACTACCTTATATTTTTCTTATTTATTGTCCATCTTCTCCAAACTGGAACATAAACTCCATGAAAATGAATCTGATCTGACTTAGCATCTAAACCTGGTACCTAGTGCCTGGCACATAATTGGTGTTTAATGAATAAAAAAGTGAAAATATAGCATATTTAGAATCCCGCACAGTATGTGAGAAACATTTTTTCTGCTTGACGAATTTAAATGACCAAATTTTTTGTATTTCTTAACTGAAATTTCTAGAAATGCTTTTTATAATGGAGAAATCTTAATTTTAGTTTTAAAATTGTGTCTCTTGATGAAATTATTTATACATGCATATCTTAAGATTCTGTTTTTAAATGTATTTTTTCTTTTATTTTTAAAATTACCTCACAGCAAAGGAATAGAAGGACCCAGTTACCACGAATCATTGTACAATGCTTTGCAGTCTCTGAGAGATAAAGAATTCTCCACATTTTATGAAAGTCTCAAATATGCCAGGTATTATAAAAAGAAAGTTATTGTATTTTAACATTTAATGTCATGGCTTCTTTTCTGAAAACTTGACAAATGATTTCAATGTAAGGATTTGCGCTGGTGAAGGGATAAGAGCGTGGTGGCTATAGTCAGGTTGTCATTTCTGCCCTCCTCTCAAAAACACTTCCCTGTGTAATAAAAATTCATGTGAATTAGTGTTGAAACTCAAACAATGCAAGTGGGGGATGGGGACAACATCCAGGATTTAGCAGTTCCCTACCTTTTGCACATCTGAGAAACGAGTGCTCAGAAGAGTTTTATCTTCTGCAGGCAAATTGGTATGCGAATTGTGGGTGTGCCTACCTTAATTGTTTTCTGTATCTTGAAAAAGCATTCTTTGTTTTTTCAATGTTATATGTTAGAGAATTTTTTTTAAATATATATTTTATTGATTTTTTACAGAGAGGAAGGGAGAGGGATAGAGAGTTAGAAACATCGATGAGAGAGAAACATCAATCAGTTGCCTCCTGCACACTCCCCACTGGGTATGTGCCCGCAACCAAGGTACATGCCCTTGACCGGAATCGAACCTGGGACCCTTGAGTCCACAGGCTGACGCTCTATCCACTGATCCAAACCAGTTAGAGCTAGAAAATTCTTTAATGCACATTTGTCAAATATATATTACAGTGTTTTTATTTTTGTTTTAAATGTAGGAGCATGCTCAGATGCTAGGTGCTTACATAAATTGTTACATTTTTTTCTTATGTAATACATTTTTCTTTGTTTATGTAGTTCAAACATGTTCTTTCCTTTAAAAACAATTCCCTTTGCGACCCCAAGGCCAGTTTTTTTATGCTGAACTCTCAAGAAAGATTTGTTGATTGCCACTTCTTTTGGTTTCTTCCTCGACCAGTTCACTAAGAGTTTTAATCTTATCTCCTTTAGTAGTTTGTATGGAATATACCTGTTTTAGTGTTTTTTAAGTAAAGTCAATACTTCAGTCTTGTTATGGGGCACAAATGAGACATTGCACATTAAAGTACTTACCTATTACAGACCAAACAAGTATAACATTGTTTTTTGTTTAATAATAGCTAGTTACCTATTAAATCCTGTATTTTGTTACAGAAATAATATTGTTACCATTTAGGTGCTTATTATGTTCTAGCCACTTAGGCTTTTTTTATGTATATATTCTCTAATGTTCAAAATAATTCTGTAAGAGAAAAGCTTAAATCAGCCGTGGGCAAACTACGGCCTGCGGGCCGGATCTGGCCCGTTTGAAATGAATAAAACTAAAAAAAAAAAAAAAAAAAAAAGACCGTACCCTTTTATGTAATGATGTTTACTTTGAATTTATATTAGTTCACACAAACACTCCATCCATGCTTTTGTTCCGGCCCTCCGGTCCAGTTTAAGAACCCATTGTGGCCCTCGAGTCAAAAAGTTTGCCCACCCCTGGCTTAAATTCAGAGGAAACCAGTATGTGCCCCGTTTTCCAGCCATACGTGGCAGCGCTGAGATTTAGATCTAGGTCTGTACGATTCAAACAAACTTATTTTGTTTTCACTGCATTAGGCCAGTGCTAGTGAATATTATTATTATTAGATCAAAATTGAAGCCTAGGATGAGAACTTTTATCTTCCTGAAAACCTCTTCTTAGTTTTTTCATTGTCTTGTCTGTTCTGCCACTAGAGTAAAAGAAGTAGAAGAGTTGTGTAAGGGCAGCCTGGAGTCTGTGTATTCACTCTACCCCACACTTAGCAGATTGCAGGCCATTGGAGAGCTTGAAAGCATTGGGGAGCTTTTCTCAAGGTATGTGACTCGTATGACTGTATCCCTCAACAGTGGTGTTTTTGTTTCCAGCTGTGACTTTAAAAAAATAGAGACCATCAGTAGGTTTGTTTCTTCCCTTTCATCAAGTTGTAAATTGATTAGTGAACTGTACTCTTATTAAAATAAACATTTTCAAAAATAATGAAAGTAAAAATTCAAGTTTTTAAATTTGAGTATTAGATGCTTTCCTCTTTACTTCGTGTTCTCTTTTCTACCCCAGGTGGAAGTGTTTCCTCATGTTTTTTGCTACAGCATATTATTCTCCCTTCTATGTAGCACTGCACTGACATTGGTGTCATTTTGTATATACTCTGCTATGCTATGCCAGAAGCTCCTAAAAGTGGGGCCCATTCTTTTGTTTGCTGTTGTATCCCCAGTGCATTTTCCTGGTGACGGATTCATACTAAACATTTGGTGACTGTCAGTGAATTTGGAGTAGGTTTGTAGGGGAGATTGGCTCTTATAATGGTGAGAGGGAAGTGATCCAGAATATTGAAAAAATGAGCTAAAACAGTTATTCAGGATGCTACTGATCTCAGTTTGGATTTTGTGACCCTGAGAAAGTTCCTTATCCTTTTTGGGCCTCACTATCCTCATATCTAAACTGGGGGGTTTATATTTGATGGCCTCTAGGGCCCTTTGTAGCCTGTCATTCTGAGTCACTATTATTATTATAAGAGGAAGGAAAGGGGGTGTAATTTGCTAAGATCACCATACCTTTATGCTACACTAGAACTTGGAATTTGCTTTGTAAGTAAAAAGGAGAAGGAAATTTTAGAGTCAGAAAATAATTATAGTTTTTCAAAATTGCACAAAGACAAAGCCATTGATGTGGCTCTTCTTAACAAGAATAAAGGAGCAAAATTGCTTTCTACTTTCATTAATAAGTATGTTGGTAGTTCTTACTGCCACAAATCCAGGAACTGTTCCTCTGAATGAAAGATGTCTTCACTAAAGTGAGGACAGATTCCTTAAGAAAGCCCTGAAGAGTGATACTGGCTCTGTCTCTGATAGAGAATTATAAGGAAGGGAGTGGAGGGCCATTTGATGAGCTGGTGAACAGTAGTTCTTAAAGTAGGGTATGTATATATTTTAAATATATTTTATTGATTTTTTACAGAGAGTAAGGGAGAGGGATAGAGAGTTAGAAACATCAATGAGAGAGAAACATCGATCAGCTGCCTCCTGCACACTCCCTACTGGGGATGTGCCCGCAACCAAGGTACATGCCCTTGACCGGAATCGAACCCGGGACGTTTCAGTCCGCAGGCTGATGCTCTATCCACTGAGCCAAACCAGTCAGGGCAAAGTGGGGTATATTCTTGAGGGTCCCCAAATCTATTCATGGGGTCCATGAATCATACTTATAATAAGATGTTCTTTCCTTTTTCTGTTCTCATTCTCTCATGAGGTGCAGTGGAAGTTTTTGAGGTATCAGAGAAAAACATCCACAATTATCTGAGAAAACTATTAACATACTCCTCCTTTTTCCAACTACATATCTGTATGAGGGTAGAATTTCTTCATGTACTTCAACCAAAACATCATATCACAACAAACCAAATATAGTAGCAAAGATGAGAATTCAACTATCTCTATTTACCCAGACATCAGAAATTTACAGAAATTTACAATGCCATTCTTCTCACTAAAGTTTATTTTGAGAACTGTGGTTATTTTGTGTGTGTGTGTGTGTGTGTGTGTGTGTGTGTGTGTGTGTTAGGATATATAGTAAATTTATTATTATAATTTAAGTAAGTTAATATATATTTGACTTTCCTCAGTTTTCATTTCCAATATGGTAAATATAGATAGTTATAATCCAATAAATGGGAGTTCTTTAGGGTCTTCAATAAGTTGTAAGAGTGTAAAGGGGTTCCTGAGATTAAGATGCTTGATACCCCCTGCTCTAGGATCATTAGTTCTGGTTCAATGAATGTGTGTCACTGTTTCCTTTTTTATCAAGCAAGTAAAAGAGCTTTCATTTACTAGCCAGCACTTTGTCATCTTCTTTATCTCCCTGCTCCATCTTAATTTCTCTTAACACAGTAGTTCTGAAGGGTTAGACAATATTGCTTAGTTTAAACATCTGGGAAGCAAACTGTTCATATAAACGAATCATACAACATTCTTTTTCTCTTCCTTTAATAAATAATGTTGGTCCATGAAACCTTTGCCAGCACTTCCTTCACTGGGATTGCGATTTCTTTACCAGCTGCATAGAGTCATCCACTAGGCCTGGCGGGTACAGTAGGAAATTAATGAGTTGATTTCATTGTCTTGCTGACATGTCCTCTTTTACTACCAGGAACATTGAAGCAAGACTACAGGTATGGGCATCTGGTATACAGGCCTGATGAATGTGTTCTCATTTCAGAAGACAGTATTTTGGAAATGCTGCTTTTTGTGAAGTCTGAGTATTTTTAAAATATATATATTTTTTATTGATTTCAGAGATGAAGGGAGAGGGAGAGGGAGATAGAAATATCAAAGATGAGAGAGAATCATCAATCGGCTGCCTCCTGCATACCCCACACTGGGGATTGAGCCTGCAACCCAGGTATGTGCCCTGACCGAAGTCAAACCTTGACCTCCTGGTTCATAGGTCGATGCTCAATCACTGAGCCACACCAGCCAAGCAAATCTGAGTATTTTTAAGAAAATTTTTTTAAATGTTCATTGTCTGTAACCTCTCTGTCAACCCTCAGAGCTTGGACCATTTTGTAGTTTTCTAAACTTTGACCCTTATTTTGGATTATTTAGAAGTTCCATTCCTGTTACTGTAATAAACTCCTTTGTATTATATCTTAAATTTAGACCCTGCATTATAGCACATTTTTCCCATTTCTCTTGCTTACATTAATTCTGTGATTTTGCTTTCAGATCAGTCGTGGAAAGGCAGCCCTCTGAAGTATACATTAAGTGGCGGAAGCACTCCCAGCTTCTCAAAGACAGTGATTTTAGTTTTCAGGAGCCTATCATGGCTCTGCGCACAGTCATCCTGGAGCTCTTGATGGAAAAAGAAATGGAGAACTCCCAACGAGAATGTTTTAAGGACATTCTCACCAAGCACCTTGTGGAACTCTCCATACTAGCCCGAACTTTCAAGAACACCCAGGTAATTGAATTTAAAACTATGTCATCTCACCTCTTGACTGGTTTTTTATTACCTAGAAAATAGAAAGCATGAGTAAAAAAGCAATGTCATTGAGAGACAGAGATCACTTAAAATACTGTATAGCACCCGGCTGGCATGGCTCAGTGGTTGAGCATTGACCTATGAACCAGGAGGAGGTCACAGTTTGATTCCCCATCAGGGCACATGCCCGGTTGTGGGCTGGATCCCCAGTTGGGGGCGTGCAAGAGGCAGCCAATCGATGATTCTCTCTCATCATTGATGTTTCTAGCTCTCTCCCCCACTCCCTTTCTCTCTGAACTCAATAGGAATATGTTAAAAATAATATATATATATATATATATCGTATAGCATAACTGTTTAAGCTAAGGTTTCCATTTTTGAGTTAGACCTGATTTTAAGCCTTGAGCAAGGTACTTACCTCCTCTAAGCCTCAATTTCCTATTTATAAAATGAGAAGATACCTACCAATTTAATGATTTTATGTACTATGTATACCCACACATACATATATGTGAGAAAAACAGGCAGATGTGAGGGCTGGGAAAGGCAGGTGGAGATGTACCTAGGACAGTTCTGACCAAGAGTCAAGAGCTCAATGAATCCTAGTAGTAATAATAATGAAAGCATTTACTGCCATGTGTTCTTTTCATTTCAGCTCCCTGAAAGGGCAATATTCCAAATTAAACAATATAATTCAACTAGTTGTGGAGTTTCTGGGTGGCAGCTGGAGGAAGCGCAAGTATTCTGGGCAAAGCAGGAGCAGAGCCTTGCCCTGAGCATTCTCAAGCAAATGATCAAGAAGTTGGATGCCAGTTGTTCCGAGGTTCACTCCTTTTTTATTGGCTGAATTAATATTTTGTTATAAAAAATTACGGTGCTTTAAATATTTTTAATAAATTCATAATTTTTATAGCCTTGAAATTACTGCTATGAGTAAGAAATTATAAAAAGTAGTCTGAAAAATTAATATTTGTGAAAGGGTTAAAGTATTCATTTTTCCTATTTGAAATAATTATATCAGTCCATCTTATGATAGATTTATTTGATTTATTGCAATGCCTTTTCCTATAAGATTCAGGAAGGACATGTGGGAAACAAACATGAAGTTACTATCAATTTGAAATAACTAAGAGAAAAATGCTTGAGAGAACAAAAGTTTTAAAATAAGCAAGTTGAAATAATTAGGTTGTCAATCCAAATACTTTGAAAATATAATGTTAATGTTTTATCTACCATTTCCTATTAGTTATTGAAGATTTGGCTGCTCTAAAGCTTTATTTCCAGCACACAATGGACAAAAGTAGAGGCATTTGTAGGAATCATAATGTGTTAAAGGGTGTGGTCACAATAATGTCCTTCTGACGTGCACCTGATTAGTGAATATCAACTCATTGCACTTTTGGTATTGAGCATTTGTATGGCATCTTCCATTAGTAGAAAAGTCACTATTATGCCAGAGTACTGGGAGCCAATATGATATGATGTTTAAACTTTGTTTAATAATATGGGCCCTGGGGTAAGGCTGCCTGGAGTTACCTACCCTCTTTGTACCTCAATTTTAGTTTCTACTCTGCAAATTAAAGATAATACTCATTTCATAGGAATAAATGAGTAAATATACATAAAGCCCTTAGAAAGTGCCTGGCATAAACAAATACTCAATAATTGTAAGTTATTCCAGTAATAGTAATAATAATAAGTAGAGGGTGAATATTTCATAAATTTACTTACTTGGATTATTAAAATAGTTGTGTGGTGAAAGCAAATAAAGAGAAACATTGTTAACCTGCTTTTTTCCCTAAGTGAAAGATATTTTTGTATAGTCCTGATGATGCTTTTAAGATCTTAAGATTTTGCTTTTCATATGCAGGATGATTCCAACCAAAAACTTATATACACAGAATGTCTGAGGGTTTGTGGCAACTGGTTAGCAGAAACTTGCTTAGAAAATCCTGCAGTCATCATGCAGACCTATCTAGAAAAGGTAAGGTTTTCTTGCAACCTTTAAGACAGTTGTTTAGCATGAATAAAACTTAATCTTTTCATCAAGGCCAAATTTATTTCAAAAGCAAATAAAGTATAATTTCTATGTATTATATATTACTAGTGGCCTGGTGCACAAAATTCGTGCACAGGGGTTGGGGAGTGTCCCTCAGCCCGGCCTGTGCCCTCTCGCAGTCTGGGACCCCTCAGGGGATAACCACCTGCTGGCTTAGGCCTGCTCCCCAGGGGATTGGGCCTAAGATGGCAATCAGACATCCCTCTGGCAGCCCGGGAGCCTTCGGGGGGATGTCCACTTGCCAGCAGGAAGCAGGCCTAAGCTGCAGTCGGACATCCTTAGCGCTGCTGAGGAGGCGGGAGAGGCTCCCACCACCACCCCTGTACTGGCAGCCGTCAGTCTGGCTTGTGGCTGAGCAGAGCTCCCTCTATGGGAGCGCACTGACCACCAGGGGGTAGCTCCTGCCTTGAGCGTCTGCTCCCTGGTGGTCAGTGTGTGTCATAGTGACCAGTGATTCCCAGTTGTTCTGCTGTTAGGGTCAATTTGCATATTACCCTTTTATTATATAGAATGGGTGTTAGCTTTTTGTTTTGCTGTTTTGGTTTGTTGGTATCCTGTGTAATAAAACCCTAATATGCAAATTGACCGAATTGCAGAACGACCGGTCACTGTGCTGCACACTGTCCACCAGAGGGCAGACACAGGAGCTGCCCCCAACCCACAGGCCCTGATAGGAGGCAGTGGCAGGGGGTGGGGCCGGTGAGCATGTGGTGCCAGGCCAGCCAAGGCAGGTGCCAGTGGGGTCGCCCAATCTCCTGCTGTTTGTCCTGCAGATCAGCCCTGATCGCTGGCCAGGCCTAGGGACCCTACCCGTGCACAAATTTCTTACACCGGGCCTTTAGTTATAAAAAAAAAAGAGGTGTTGAAATTAAATACAAAAGATTACCTATTTTGATGTAATTAAACCTTTTATTCCAACTTGCCTTTGGTCTGTGTATTTTAGTGTAAGGAGAGAATAAAGTAAACTAAATACCTTAGGTAGAGTCCACTCTGTCTTTGGTTGTCTATGATAGCCTTTGAATTGCACAAACTTACTTTAAGACAAAAAGTAAAAGAAAAAGACAAAAAGTAAATTTGTTTCCTTTATAACCCTTAGAATTTTGTCTTTTCTGATTTTTCACTTATGTTGTATATCATGTATGATTTTGTAGTCCCATAAATTTGATGGCTTTTGTGTTTTACTTTAATTATTCAATGCAAGATACACAATAAAGGTTCAGCGAGAACTGGAGCTGGATGAATGTGCACTCCGTGCACTGAAAGAGGATCGGAAGCGTTTCTTATGTAAAGCTGTTGAAAATTACATCAGTTGCCTGTTAAGTGGAGAAGGGCATGATATGTGGATATTTCGTCTTTGTTCCCTCTGGCTTGAAAATTCTGGAGTTTCTGAAGTCAGTGGCATGATGAAGGCAAGTTGTTTTTTCAACCTGATATTCTACCATGTGCTTGAAAAGCTTAGTATCAGGGATTATGTATACTTTGTATCCCTAGCACTTGGCTTGGTGCTCATAGTACACATAGGTTCAAGTATGCACAGGTATACTTAATTAGCTTCAATGATGCAGTGTTGTATGGAGATGAGAGAATTTAGGTCAGTATTTTCCTATTTCTTTGCAATTACCACAGGAATGTACCTAGAATACTAGGGGGATTTGGAGAGCAATAAAAAATGATGAGGTCAGCCCTAGCTGGTTTTTCTTAGTGGATAGAGCGTCGGTCTGTGGACCAAAGGGTCCCAGGTTCAATTCTGGTCAAGGGCACATGCAACGCCCAGGGTTGCAGGCTCGATGCCCAGTAGGAGTCGTGCAGAAGGCAGCCAATCAATGATTCTCTCTCATCATTGATGTTTCTATCTCTCCCTCTCCCTTCTTCTCTGAAATCAACAAAAATATATTTTAAAAAAATGAGGTCACAGGTAGATTTCTTTGCCTGCTTTATGCTTTTCTAGAATTTTTACAGAGAATTCTTTTGTAAATGGAAAATAATTTTTTTAAGAAAGCATCAAGGCAGCAGTATTTCATAAGTTTTTATTTAAAAATCTTAGATTTTATTGACGACACCTAAAATTAAAGTTATGTTAATTATACATAGGGTATCCCCAAAAATATGTACACACACTTTGAATAATTATAAAGGCAGTGTTTATTAAAATAAATTTCATTTTCAGAATTGTGCTCTCAGCTGTTAAAGTGCATATACATCTTTGTAATACTTTAAGAAATAAAAATTATTAAAATATTAAAAAAAAAAAATTAAAAAAAATAAAGTGCATATACATTTTCAGGGACACCCCAAAAGTTAAAATAAATTTCATTTTCAAAATTGAGCTCTTGGCTGTTAAAGTGTATATACATTTTGGGGGGGACAGTCAATTTGAAGCTTAAAAGTAAAATGGTTCTGCTGGATGAAAAGAATGGTAAGACTCATAATAGTCTCAGTTACTAGTGCACAAACCTGTTACTTTTAGCATGTAGGGGATAATAATTACCCCATCTTATTATACTCTGACTGCTCAGGAGTGCAGATTGCCATGGTCCTCAGATCCAGATCCACATTCGTTCTTGGGTTCACTGGAATATAAGCAGTGCCAAGTATTTCAATACTCAATACAATTTAATTTAGGATCAAATACGATGAATCAATCTAGAATGCCAATCAGAAAGACTGTCAGATAAGATAAATGATAAGGAAAAAATGTAGTGAAGTTTTATTAACAACCACAAGGTTGTGCTAGTTGAAGAGCATTAGCAGCGGTTCTCAACCTGTGGGTCGCGAACAATGAAAATACATCCTGCATATCAGATATTTACATTACGATTCATAATAGTAGCAAAATTACAGTTATGAAGTAGCAACGAAAATAATTTTATGGTTGGGGGTCACCACAACATGAGGAACTGTATTAAAGGGTCGCGGCATTAGGAAGGTTGAGAACCACTGCCTTAGAGTAATTTATTTACTTAGATGTGAGACTATTTGAAATGCATTGTTTCTTAATTTTGTATTCTTTTTTAATGATAGAGATATGGAATGAAGATTCCATCATATAAGTTTTTGCCTCTTATGTACCAACTGGCTGCTAGAATGGGGACCAAGATGACGGGAGGCCTAGGATTTCATGAAATCCTCAATAATGTAAGTAAACCTGGAAATCAAAACAATAATTGCTTTTCTTTTATATTATCATATACTATATCAAGTATGTACTGCTGTTCCATTCTAAGAAATGGAAATACAAAAAAATTTAGTCCTCTATTTATTGTGCCAAGGGCAAGAACAAAGATTTCCTTTTGTCTCCTCTCACTGCACATACATTACTCAGTTTCTCTCTTATCCTCATGTACCCTGTCTCTAACCCACACTTCACCCACTGCGGTATCTAGTACAGTAACACATATCTCAATGTTAAGTAAAATGAAAAGTGTTGTGGATTTTCTACTTTTTTGTTTGTTTGCATAAAACTAATAGTTCTTCATTTGTGACAGCTCATCTCTAGAATTTCAATGGATCACCCCCATCATACTTTGTTTATTATATTGGCCTTAGCAAATGCGAACAAAGATGAATCTTTGACAAAATCAGAGGCAGCAAGAAGGAGTAGAATAACTAAAAATGCACCTAAACAGAACTCTCAGCTTGATGAGGTATTTGGATTAAACATATATAACTTTTTGAATTGTGATATTCATATTTTCCCAGAATATTCTTTTCTTAAATTCCAGTGATTCTAAGAATGTGTGTTGTGACTAGATTCGGTTTGTAAATCCTTTGTTATTATGATGCCACTTAAAATTGGTTCAAAATTTCTGAATATTTCTCAAAGCATGGGAGATATCAGTAATATTTTACATTTTTTCCTCACAGCAATGAGCAAATAAAAACTAGATTTTTGAAAGGCACCCATGCCACTTACTCTTGAGATTATTATATCTTTTATGTATTTCATTCATAAGAGAGCTGTTTTGTTTGGATCTGAGGGATTATAGTCCTTTCATTGCCTACATGTGTGCATACATTCTTTTTTTTCTTTTGTTATTATATCTGAAAAGTTGAAATGTCAGGTATTTTCTTATGCATTGTTCTTTGTTTTTTTCTGAATAGGATCGAACTGAGGCTGCAACCAAAATTATAAGTGCTATCAGAAGTAGGAGACCCCAGATGGTCAGGAGTGTTGAGACACTTTGTGATGCTTACATTATATTAGCAAACTTTGATGCCACTCAGTGGAAGACTCAGAGAAGTATGTGTTTAAAAGAATGAGTGTTCCTTTCATACTATGTTATTCTCTGTAGAGATATGTTAATTACAGAACCTAATGTATAAATCTCTTTAAATCACAAACATTACTGTAATTACAGATACAAAGGTCCTGTTGATTGCAATTCACACATGATCCAAAACTTAATTTTTGTCTAATGGCTTCAATACCATTCACTTTTTCACTTAATATATTTTGGTGGAACTGATAATAGATGACCACACTGAATTATTTGATTTCTCTGGGTAATCTTCTGTTGCAGAGAATTGTATAGAAGCACATCCTTTAAAATAACTGAATAGCTAAGATTTTTTAGGGTCAAAGGTTTTTAAAATAGTTACATACTCACTGTGCCCTAGGACTTAAAAATGAAAAAGCCTCCATTTCTTCCATAGAATGCCTTGCATGTAATCCATCCTTCTTGCTGTGTCTGTTAAAATAATTATAAGATGCTGTAATTTTTGATTATATGCATTCACTTATAAGTATCTCTCTCCCCATACTTTAATAATGATATTCCATTTTGTTTAGAATCATATCTTCACATTTAAATTCAATAATTATTACTTTAAAATAAGAATGAGACTTATTGTGTTCCTCTAAACCAGCGGTTCTCAACCTGTGGGTCGCTACCCCTTTCGGGTCGAACAACCCTTTCACAGGGGTTGCCTAAAACCATCGGAAAACACATATATAATTACATATTGTTTTTGTGATTAATCACTATGCTTTAATTATGTTCAATTTGTAACAATGAAAATACATCCTGCATATCAGATATTTACATTACGATTCATAACAGTAGCAAAATTACAGTTATGAAGTAGCAACGAAAATAATTTTATGGTTGGGGGGGGTCACCACAACATGAAGAACTGTATTCAAGGGTCACGGCATTAGGAAGGTTGAGAACCACTGCTCTAAACAAACAAAAAATACCGTCATGTCCTTTAGTCACTCTTTTTTTCTAAAATGTATTTTTATTGATTTCAGAGAGGAAGGGAGAGGGAGAGAGAGAGACAGAATCATCAATGATGAGAGAGAATCATTAATCAGCTGCCTCCTGCACGCCCCCTACTGGGGATCGAGCTTGCAACCCAGGCATGTGCCCTTGACCAGAATCAAACCCGGGACACTTCAGTCTGCAGGCTGATGCTCTAGCCACTGAGCAAAACTAGCTAGGGCCCTTTAGTCACTTTTAATAGTATGGCAGGAATACATTAGGTAATTATCTTATGTAAGGACTTAAAAAATATGTCATTATCTCAAGGTGCTCAAGCTGTCCCCCTCAATCTGATTCCCAGGGCCAGGTAACCAGCAACTGCATTTGTAAGCCATGTTAAATTAACCATCGCTATGCTCTGACCCTGAGCTACAGTGTGTCCCGAGCCCTTGGATCTTCATTCCTAAACCAGGGACTAAACCACGGATCAGCCAGAAGGGAGGGTCTGTGGCATCTGCTGAATTGTGCTTTACTGTCAGTGCCGTTCCTCAATTTTCGGTTGCCACTAAAACCTCTTTATTTTAAATACAGAAGGCATAAAAATTCCAGCAGACCAGCCAATTACTAAACTTAAGGACTTAGAAGATGTTGTTGTTCCTACTATGGAAATTAAGGTAATTTACCATCAACTCTTTTATTTTATTAAACTAAATTCCTCTGTGTTAGGTTAAATCATTAGAAATTGTCTTTTTTGTATATCAAAATTGGTTAAATACTGGCAATTTCATTTGTTTCAACCTATAGTTTTTTTCTTTATTAGATTCCCTGTGCTCAAGCCTTAAAATGCATAAAGGCCTCTCCAGCTTTCTTTTCCTTTGCCGTCAGTTCCATACCCCCATCTTTCTTATGAAGAATGTCTGTAGACTGTTATCTTCATTGGCCAGAAGGAAAAATTCCATGTGCTTATGCCAAGATTAGTTTTTAACTTGGCAAGAAAGTTCCTACTTGTGTTACTGGTTTTTAAAGTTCTATATGCATTATAATATATTGATTGTGATGTATTACAGTATTAAGCAATGCAGTATGTGTTGCAATATAAAACTGATTATAATGTACATGACCTTTTAGCTATGTAATAATGATCTTTTATTGCTATAAGTACCCTATGGTCAGGGATCTATGTAATAATAAAGGTTATAGTTTAGAAAATGATCATTTTTAACTACATTATAAATCTCTCTTTTGAGTTTGCAATTCAGTGGTTAGTACCTAAAGTTATTTGATTTGAAGTATAGCTGTTTTATGTGAATTAACTAGTATCTTCCCAACTATTCCATCAATATTATTTAGCTGAATAATTCCTGAAAATGCATACTTAGTAGTTATAACCTAGAGAACTCCTCTCCATGCTTTTCTAAAATTCACCTTATTATGATTTTGTGAGTACTATTTCTCAGATGACTTAACATGTACAAGTCAGTGTTAAGACATGTTTTCAGTAATTTTTCAATGACACTATTCCAATTTTGTATACCCTACTTTTATTAAGATATATTTAGGGAAGTAGTGTCATTTTTTAAAGCCTTGTCAATGTCAAATATTCTCTTTCATTTAACAGAAAGTTATAGCTCCAGTTCTTAACCAACAGCACATTGACATTCATTCCTCTTTTTAGTAATAAAATTATTGATAATTCATTTTTCAAATAGTGTATCTGACCTATTATCATTTTTATATTTTTTATTAGGTGGACCCTACAGGAGAATATAAAAATCTGGTGACTATACAGTCATTCAAAGCAGAATTTCGTTTAGCAGGAGGTGTAAATTTACCAAAAATAATAGATTGTGTGGGCTCTGATGGCAAGGAAAGGAGACAGCTTGTCAAGGTGAGGCTCCCCTTCTGTGGTGTGGTTCTTAGAGAGTTGATGAAAAAAGTCAAAGGCCGAAACCGGTTTGGCTCAGTGGATAGAGCGTCAGCCTGTGGACTGAAAGGTCCCAGGTTTGATTCCGGTCAAGGGCATGTACTTTGGTTGTGGGCACATCCCCAGTAGGAGATGTGCAGGAGGCAGCTGATCGATGTTTCTCTCTCATCGATGTTTCTAACTCTCTATCTCTCTCCCTTCCTCTCTGTAAAAAATCAATAAAATATATTTAAAAAAAAGAAAAAAGTCAAAGAAAACGTTGATAAGTTCTTCCTGCTTTATTTATGTCTTTATTCTGAATAATTACAAGTGAGGAAAACTTATAGAATAGAAATACATTTTCTAGAAGCACAATGCTTTTCTCCATCTTTTTATGTGTTTCTGAAAGATCATCATTATTATAATGATTATACATGTACGGACAGGATGAGGTTAACCATCAGCTTGCTCGTTATAGGAAAGATATTTTAGGGATTGTTATCTATATTCTTTTTTTAGTTTAAATTTTTTATTGTTTAATTCTTTATTCTTTTTCCCCCATTGACCTCTTTTCAGCCATTCTCACCCCTGAGCACATGCCCTCACCCCCCTACTGTCTGTGTCCATGGGATATGCTCATATGCATGTATACAAGTCCTTTGGTTGATCTCTTTCCCTCCCTCTCCCCTGCCTTCCCTCTGAGGTTGGACAGTCTATTCAATGCTTCTATGACTCTGGATCTATTTTTGTTCCTCAGTTTATGTTGTTCATTATATTCCACAAATGAGTGAGATCATGTGATATCTTTCTCCGACTGGCTTATTTTGCTTAGCATAATGCTTTCCAGGTCCATCCATGCTGTTGCAAATGGTAAGAGTTCCTTCTTTTTTATAGCAGCATAGTATTCCATTGTGTAGATGTACCACAGTTTTTTAATCCACTCATCTGCTGATAGGCACTTAGGCTGTTTCCATATCTTAACTATTGTGAATTGTGCTGAACATAGGGGTGCATATATCCTTTCTGATTGGTGCTTCTGATTTCTTGGGATATAGTCCTAGAAGGGGGATTACTGGGTCAAATGGGAGTTCCATTTTTAGTTTTTTGAGGAAACTCCATACTGTTCTCCACAGTGGCTGCACTAGTCTGCCTTCCCACCAGCAGTGCACGAGGGTTCCTTTTTCTCCGCATCCTCGCCAGCATTTGTTGTTTGTTGATGATAGCCATTCTGACAGGTGTGAGATGGTACCTCATTGTTGTTTTGATTTGCATCTCTCGGATGATCAGTGACTTTGAGCATGTTTTCATATGTCTCTTGGCTTTCTGAATGTCCTCTTTTGAAAAGTGTCTATTTAGGTCCTTTGCCCATTTTTGATTGGATTGTTTATCTTCCTTTTGTTAAGTTGTATGAGTTCCCTATAAATTTTAGAGATTAAACTCTTGTCGGATATAACATTGGCAAATATGTTTTCCCATGCAGTGGGCTCTCTTGTATTGTTGATGGTTTCTTTTGCTGTGTAGAAGCTTTTTATTTTGATGAAGTCCCATTTGTCCTAGGAGCTGTATCAGTAAAGATATTGCTAAGACATATGTCTGATATTTTGCTGCCTATGGATTCTTCTAAGATTTTTATGGTTTCCCGTTTTATATTTAAGTCCTTTATCAATTTTGAGTTTATTTTTGTATATGGTATAAGTTGGTGATCTAGTTGCATTTTTTGCATGTCTCTGTCCAATTTTCCCAACACCATTTATTGAAGAGACTGTCTTGACTCCATTCTATGACCTTGCCTCCTTTGTCAAATATTAACTGAGCATAATGGTTTGGGTCGATTTCTGGGTTCTCTGTTCGGTTCCATTGGTCTATATCAGCGGTTCTCAACCAGTGGTTTGCGACCCCTTTGGGGGTTGAACGGCCCTTTCACAGGGGTCGCCTAAATACATCCTGCATATCAGATATTTACATTACTATTCATAACAGTAACAAAATTACAGTTATGAAGTAGCAATGAAAATAATTTTATGGTTGGGGGTCACCACAACATGAGGAACTGTATTAAAGGTTCACAGCATTAGGAAAGTTGAGAACCACTTGTCTATATGTCTGTTCTTGTGCCGGTACCAGGCAGTTTTGAGAACAGTGGCTTTGTAGTATAGCTTGATATCTGGTATTGCGATCCCTCCAACTTTGTTCTTCTTTCTCAGGATTGCTGTGGCTATTCGGGGTCCTTTTTTATTCCATATGAATTTGTGAAGAGTTTGTTCTAGGTCTGTGAAATATGTTGTTGGTATTTGTTACTTCTATTCTTGATTAGTTCAAGTTTAAGGTCCTTGCTTCAATATGCTGAGTCTGGCACTATGCCCAAGTGCTAGCAAATGTACCACAAAGGATGGCGATTCTCCCTTAATCTGTTCAAAAGCTCTTTGGGCCTCGCTGAGGAGTGGCAGAGAGAGAACAGTTGCCCCACCCAGCTCTTTTGCAGCTTGCCCTCAGGTGGAGAAGTTTCAGTTGAGGGGGCTTCTTTTTTCTAAAGTGCTCTGCCTACTCAGTGTTACAGCTTCTTCTGAAAGAATAGCCTAGGTCTTAATTATTTAAGAGACCATTAAGAGGAGCCCTGATGCTCAGATTGACTTCTGAGTGCCCTTTTGCTGTCCTCAGATGTCTCTTGCTATGATTTTATTGTAAAGAAATGAACTGTGCTTAGTTATTCTTTTTTTTTTATTATTCTGAAGGGCCGTGATGACCTGAGACAAGATGCTGTCATGCAGCAGGTTTTCCAGATGTGTAACACATTGCTGCAGAGAAACACTGAGACCAGGAAGAGGAAGTTGACTATCTGCACATACAAGGTAACTCGTTTTTACTGCTGCTGCTTCACCAAGAGTAATATTCAGACCAGGGGTCAGCAAATGTTTTCTGTGAAGGACCAGATAGTACACATTTGAGATGTTATGGGCCACAAAAGGTCTCTGTCACCTATCCTTTATATTTTCTTTACAACGCTTTTAACCTGAAACCCTTTTAACCTGAAACCCCATCCTTAGCTCACAGGCTCTTCAAAGCAGCCTGGGGCTGGGATTTGTCCAAGGCCATAGATTGCCAATCTCTGATTTAGCCACATTGTTTTTTTGTTTGTTTATTTTTTCTTTTTTTAAAAGAACTCATTGATGTTAACTGCAGTGAGGTGTTTCTTATAATCAACTAAAGTATTTTTTCCTTATCTTTAACCATTTGGCTTATTTCTGGTATAAAAGTACTCTTAAGAAGAAAAGTGCTATTAAGAAGGAAATACTGTGCTTGTCAGTGGCTCAGCTGGTTAAAACATCGTCCCGTATGCCAAAAAAGGTTGTGGGTTCAACCCCCAGTGGAGGCTCTATGGAATGCAACTGCTCAATGTTTCTCTCTCTCATTGATGTTTCTCCCTAACCCTTCCCTTCCCGCTCTCTCAAATCAATAAAAACATTTTTTTTTAAAAGTACAAAGTATAAGGAAAACAGGGCTAATTCCTCTTCCAAATGGAACCAACTAAGTATGGCACAGTGTAGGTGATGAAGGGGATCATAAACAGGACTGACTTCTCAAGGGAATCGTGGAGACTAAGAGGTGAGCAGGTTCTCAAGTCTAAGCAGCAGGCTAGAAGATCTTACTCTTTGAGCTTAAAGAGTAAGCTTTCCTCCAAAGAACCCAGTCTCCTGTGGACAGAGAAATAGTAATACAACTTGAGAAAATGCTTCACCCTGACTCTGATAGTTCAATGATTATCATATGCTATTTAATGCCCTTCCATAATCAAAAGGTATTTAATCTATAACTTTAGGTGGTTCCCCTTTCTCAGCGAAGTGGTGTTCTTGAATGGTGCACAGGAACTGTCCCTATTGGTGAATTTCTTGTTAACAATGAGAATGGTGCTCATAAAAGATACAGGCCAAAGGATATCAGTGCCTATCAATGCCAGAAGAAAATGATGGTAAGTGACACCCAAAAGTATGAGTTATTGCAGGATTGTTTAATAGTTTATTAAAGCTCAAGGTTGTCACATACAGAATATAAACAGTTTTAATTTCAGCAGGTAATTGCTAATGATACTAAGTAAAAGAAAGAAAGCTCACCAGAATAAAAGGTTGTATGAGTGGAAAATGAAGGTTTTTAAACTGTAATGTCAACTCTTGTCTGATGAGAAATTTAATATTTTTCAATGTATGCTAATTCTTAACAAAACAAAACACTAAAACAAAACCATTATGAAATAATTTTTATCTGAAACTAATATAGAGAGCTTCTAAGACATTTGCCACATTACACTGGTCATTTGGCATTCACTCTCAGCAGTGTTTATTAAATGCCTCCTCTGTACCAGGTGAGCTTTCACAAATCTGAAATTTCACAGATGTTATGACTAATCATTGTACTCATCCCATTGAAAGGTGAGAAGAAATGCAGAGAACTTCACTTGCCCAAGGTCAAAGCGAATAAGTGGTGGAGCAAGGATTTGAACCTTGTCTCTACAACTCTAAAGTCCACTTACTTCTCCTTTCATTGTTCAGTGTACAGAGGGTACAGTGCAGGACAGAGGAGGAAGTGGTTAGTTCTCCCTGGGATGGGGCATGGAGAGAATCCGATTCAAGAAAGGCTTCATAGAGGAGATGGTGTTTGAGGCAAGTTTTGTAAATGAATTTGTCTTCAAGCAGAAGGAGATACAAGCAAAGAGAAGGAGGTGTGAACATGCAGTTAAAGACAGCACAGCCTTAGTCTTTGAGGAGGAGCAGATAGGATATTGAATCAGTAGTCATTAGTCAAAAAATAGAGGGTTGCATTATATGCTAAGAAATGTGCACTTTGTCCTGTAGGCAATAGAGAACCCTTGAGAAGAATGTTAATATCAAATTTGCATTTTAGAAAGCTAACTCTGACCCAGCCTGCGTGGCTCAATGGTTGAGCATGGACCCATGAACCAAGAGGTCATTAGTTTAGTTCCTAGTCAGGGCATATGTCTGGGTTGAGGGCTTGATCGCCAGTGAGGGGCAGCCATTGATGTTTCTTTCTCTCATCAATGTTTCTATCTCTATTCCTCTCCCTTCCTCTCTAAAAATCAATTAAAACATTTAAAAAAAAAAGATAACTCCGACAGCACTGTGGGTTATGTTTTCAAAAATTCCGACTAAAGGCATGAGACAGGGGATCTGAACTAAGATTCATAAACAATAGGAATGGAGAATAGGGGGTACATATGAGAAATATTAAGTAGGCAGAACAGGTAGGATTTGGTTGCTGATTAGAAGTGGGATTGGTGAAAACGTAGTCAGTAGCACCCAGTTTTCTGGTTGGGGTGTTGGGGTAAACGGAGAGGCCATTTACAGTGTAAAAAATAGAGGAAGTGGCTGAGCTTTGCCACAGTTGAGAAGGTGGATTAGTTTGGATTTGGAAGTGATCCCAGTGAAGATGTTGAGTGGGCAGTTGGGAAGCACATCATGCTGGAGCTTAATGAAGGTGTCCCGGCCAAAGGTGGAGATTTGGAAGTCATCAGCACATAGGTGAGAGTAGGCCCAGTGAAGTAGACAAGCTCTGCTTCCGGAAGGTATGTTAGAAGCCAGGTCTGACACTTGTCAGCTGCTTTGCCATCCATCAGTGACCCATTCTTCCTCCTTTTTGTTTCCTATCCCACCCCTAGTACCTAGTGCCATAACACCACCTAAGACTGTCTGGAACTACCTTTGTCATTTGTGTTTCCTTTCACATAGATTACAGGATCATGCAAGTTAGTGTGCATCCTTCCACTAATATGAAAACCCTAAAGGTATTAGAACTTGTTATTAATTGCTTCCCTGACCAGTGTGTTAGCTTCTTGAGAGTAGAGATACCTTATCTTTTTATTACCTTTATGTCTGTCATACTATTTTCCATATAGACACTCTTAGTGGGCTTAAATTACTTGAACACAATATTGAGAAAATAATTTTATATTTGATCTATTTAAAGGATGCACAAAAGAAGTCTTATGAAGAGAAATACGAAACATTCATGGATATTTGTAAGAATTTTCAACCAGTGTTCCGTTATTTCTGCATGGAAAAATTCTTGGACCCAGCTGTTTGGTTTGAGAAACGATTGGCCTATACTCGCAGTGTGGCTACTTCTTCTATTGGTAATCTTACACATTTTAGTAAATTCACACTTCCCACATTCTTAATTGCAGGGGATGATGTTATTGATAGTGGTTGTTAACTAAATTGTTTTCATCTTTAGATCATTGAGTTTTTTGTTCATCTTGATTTTTTTTTAAATCATTAATTCATTTCATCAAGTATATACCAGAGAGTGGAAGGGAGGGGGAGAAGGGACACACACACACACACACACACACACACACATACACACACACATTGATCAGTTGCCTCCAGCATGTGGGATCAAGCCCGTAACCCAGGTATGCTCTCTTGACCGGGAATCGAACCTACAACCCTTCGATGCACGAGCGACACTCCAACCACTGAGCCATGCCAGCCAGGGCTCATCCTGATTTTTTTTTAATTAAATATTTTTTTAATTGATTTCAGAGAGGAAGTGAAGGGGAGAGAGAGATAAAAACATCAATGATGAGAGAGACTCATTGATTGGCTGCCTTCTGCGTGCCCCCCTGACTGGGGATCAAGCCTGCAATCTGGGCATGTGCCCTGATCTCCTGGTTCATAGGTTGACGCTCAACCACTGAGCCATGCTGGCTGGGCTCATCCCGATTCTTAGCTTCTAGTTGTAGCTCTTAGCATTTGCAGGAGAGACTTCTCCTGCCCCAAGGTAGGGAAACAAGACTGGTTATTCTTTTTTGTTTAATAGTGAATATGGTTTATTTTCTCTTCCTGAATTCACTGTGTTATTTTCTGAGATTTCCTTTGGAAAATAATAAAATGCATGATAACTGCATGTAAGTTATTTCCTTTAATTATTAGTGTTCTTTGTGCAGAACCTCTATAATACCATATTATCACCCAATGATTGATTCTGTTTAATAAGATTTTGTTTTTAGAATAGAAATAATGATATCTATTTAAATATTCAGTGTCCAACATGTACTTTGACTTTGTTTTGCTTTTTTCATTTGTAAGAGATTGGAAAGGCTAGATAGAGCAGTTAACAAAATCATAGAGTATGCGGGCTAACAAGAACATCAGAGATCTTTTATCTTTTAATCCACTGGCTTTTAACTGAAGACCACTGCCTCCATCACTTCGGGACCATTCCCCAAGAAGGCAGGGCATGTATGTTTAAAAATTTTTTTAGATAATTATGAAATTCTCTTCTATTCTACATTGAGGATCGTTTATCTGATTCAACTAATTTAGGTTATAAACAAGAAAGTAGGCCCTGTTAATGACAGAGCGAGCCATCCTGACTCCCTATGTGGTGTCTTTTTTGTAACAACCTAGTGTTTTTTTTTAGGTTAAAGGTATTTTAAGTCATGTCATAATCTGTCTTAAAAATAGAAATTAGTTGGTTTTATTTTAGGTATATACCTGATTAAATGAATTAATGATTAATTTGTATTAAATATAACCAAGCAGAAGAAAGTTTCACTGAAGAATGAAGAATTTTCTCATGAATTACTCAATAAATACTTGAATGCATATGCACTTGGTCCTGGTAAATAATGGTCTCAACTTTAACCACACCAATGTTAAAGTACTAATATTTTTAAGTGTGTGCTGTATTTGTAAGGGGGAAACTTTTTAGCAAGTTATCTAGAGTTTATAAAATGCAGCATAAATGAAAATAGCTGGTGAGATTTGACTTCAATTCAAAATGGCCAGCTATGAACATGATTTCATTAAGTAGGCTAAAAAGCCCAAGCTACTTAAAATTATGTAGTCAATGATAATAGTTGAAATTATGACTAAATATGTTATTAGAAATAGATGATATCAGTGATTTCAGGTTTGTTTTTTTCCCCCAGTTGGTTACATACTTGGACTTGGTGATAGACATGTACAGAATATCTTGATAAATGAGCAATCAGCAGAACTTGTACATATAGATTTAGGTAAGTCATAAAAGATACGTATTTTTATTTTGTTTAATAACTAGTCATCAAGAAATGTTGTTTTCCTACCAAAGAAGATGTATATGTTATAGGAATGGGGAGACAGTCAGTGTGCCAGAGTAGAGCCTGCATGTAATCGAGTAGCATGAGAGATAGATTGCTACGAGGCTGTAAAAAGCCAAGCTAAGAAGTTTCAACTTTAATCTGTTAAGTAATGGGAAGTAAATGAAGATATATTTAAGCAAGACGTGATTACATTTGATTATTGGAAAGGTAATTTGGGAGCAGTATTTATTGGCTGCGGGAAGGCAGGTTAGTTGGTATTATAGTAGTGTAGACAAGAGAGGTTGAAGATTTGGACGACATTTGTGAAGACCAGAGCATTGGATTTGGGGGACTTTTTGCGGTAACCTGCACCAGTGATCTTAGATGTGGGAACTGTGGGAGGGGGGCTCCAGGGGAACTGAAGTTTCTAGTAAGGAGCAGAGCAGGTTTTGTAAAGAATAAGGAAGCAGTAAGTTTAGTTTTGCAATTTCCAGATGGAGTAGGCAGTTTAATATATAGGAGAACAAAGAAGTTGAGCATAGTGACGTGGAACTTTCAGCAAGATTTCAGGTGAAGTGAGTGGACTGGAGGAGGTTCTGAACTCATGCATCCGCCGTGATAAAGAAGACCAAGGATGGGGTGTGAGGAATGCTGGTGTTGAAAAGGCTGAGTCAGAAGAAAAACAGGAAAAACCAATAAGTCATGGAAACTAGGAGGGGGGCGTATCTGGAGGAAACATTTTTATGAAGGAAGAAGTGGTCCGTAGTGGCCGATACAGAAAGGTCAAATAAGATGAATGCAGTAAAAAAGGCCTTTGTATTTAACAATCAGTCTTAGAGGCCTAGGAAGTAACTTTTGGATAGAATGGTTGAAGTGAGACTATAAAAAGGCAAGGATCGAATGAAAGTTAAAGATGTATAGACTAAGAATGTGGAATTGTCCCGCAAGAAGTTTAGAAGGGGAGGGTAGGGTGGGAGAAATTTGCCACAGAGATGATGTAGAGACACATATTCACTCCTTTTTTTGGTTAGTTTTGACTGTTTTTTGTTTGCTTTGTTTAATATGAGAGATGCATGAACATGTTAGATGTTGATAAAATACAGGAAAGATAAAATTAAAACAGCAAGGGAAATTATAAAGTGCATGCTCGGTAGAATTGGCTTTACATTGGAGGCATGTGAGCTTTTCTGCTAAGAGGAGGAAAGGATGAGTGCTAATAGGAAAGTCAGAAGCTAGAGGGAAAGAGAATTTTAGGAAAATTGTATTTACTCTTCTGTTATTTCTGAGAAATAGAAAGCATGTTTACTTGCTAATAATCAGAGGGATGGTAATCAACCTTAAAAGAACAATAAAATTCTAAAACAGGTACCAAGAAAATGAGACCAAGAGTTGTAGAAAGGGAGAAGTAAAAAGACATGCAAAGCAGTTTAAGGGTCACTTTCCTAAGGTGATAATCCTAAATTTGTAGTGGAGCCAATAGTGTCTCCATATGACTTCTTCCACCAATCCTGAACATCCCTGGAGTTGAAGTTTTAGTTAGAAATAGTAGGTGTGGTGGGGCAAGGAGATTTGAGGTACTAGTGAGAGTAATCAACTTTGTAGTCTATACTCTGGGCTAAGCAGGGAAGGAAGAGAGGCTAATAGACTAGAAATCTCAATGAGTTTGAAGACTATTAAATAAGTGTACAGAAGAAGAGGTCTTGATTAGAATGTAGAATTTAAGAATTCTAAGAAGGTACAGTTTTAAGAAATTAGAAATTCTACAATGTAATCCACATAGATGGTTTTCTAAGAGAGAATAAAATTTAATTCCATTAGAAAGAGATCAAAGATATTATAAATATAAAGATATATATATATATATATATATATATATATATACTCTGCATTTTAAATTCTACCTGTAACTACTTCTTTTTTAAAACCATCCTTGAACCTATATTTCTCTAATTATGTCAAGAAGTAGTAAATGTTTCTTTAACAGTGGTGGAGATGAGGAAGCTGGGCTGAGCAGAAATGGAGTGAACTACTGTGTGTTGTAGCACTGAGACGATATAGGTGACAGAGTATTCGGTGCCTCTACAAAGTTCACGTGCCATTTGGGAGGAAAGTCAATTAGCTATGGAACCTCCTAACCTCACTGTGTTTTTCTCTTAGGGGTTGCTTTTGAACAGGGTAAAATCCTTCCTACTCCTGAAACAGTGCCTTTTAGACTCACCAGAGATATTGTGGATGGGATGGGCATTACTGGTGTTGAAGGTGTCTTCAGAAGGTAAGTGATGTAAGATAGGGCAGATGATTTTAGGTGTCAAAGTTATTTGGGTTGTTGATTTTTATAGATTATAGAATTCATTGCTAGAATTACATGCCAGTGCTTTGCCAGCACTAAGGAAGAGACCCTGGCTGAGAATAGCAATTGTTTCCCCTTCTTTCAGGTCACCTGGGACCTCACCCAATATATCAGGCGTACTGTCCTTCCTAACCTCTGGAAGCTGCCCACCTTTATCTTCAATGCCTCTGTTTGACTAACTTTCCTTTTAATGTTCGGAACTCCTCTCAGGTGCTCATCGGTGGGCGTATAATCGGTCCCAAAGGAGCTTATGAGCCAATTCCAGTGCCTACTAAAAGAAATGTGCAGTTCCCTATATTTTCCCTGCATAGGTCTATGTACTCAATTTTTAATGGGGCAGATTCTAATAATTACCACAGTAATTAATGACTGAAAGAAATATTTCATAGTATTGTATTATTCTTATATTCACACATATATATTTTTTATTAAAGTATAATTGACATACAATACTTCATTAGTTTCAGGTGTATAATGTAAGAGTTCGACATTTATATATATACCTTACTATGCGATCACCATGATAAATCTAAAATTTATCGCCATATAAAATTATGATATTGTTGACTATATTCCCTGTGCTGTATATTACATCCCTATGACTTGTTTATTTTATTTTATTCTTTACTTGTTTATATTATAACTGGAAGTTTGTACCTCTCAATCCCTTTCACCTTTTTATTCATTCCCCCCACCTCCTCCCTTCTGACAGCTATCAGTCTCTGTTCTCTGTTTCTATGAGTCTGTCTCTGATTTGTTTTGTTGATTTTGTTTTTTTAGATTCCACACATAAGTGAAATCATAGGATATTTGTCTTTCTTTGTCTGACTTATTTTAGCCTCTAGATCTACGTAACAGCTTTGTTGCTGTTGCTTCTGGAGACACATCTAAAAATATATTACTGGGGTTGATGTTAAAGAATTTACTGCCTATGTTTTCTTCTAGGAGATTTGTGGTTTTAGGTCTTATATTTAAGTTTTTAAAATCCACTTTGAGTTTATTTTTATGTATGATATAAAAGAGTGATCCAGTTGTGTGTTTTTTTGCATTGTTGCAAATGGTAAGATTTCATTCTTTTTTTATTGCTGAGTAATATTCCATTGTGTGTATATATAACATCCTCTTTATCCATTCATCTATTGATGGACACCTAGTTGCTTCCATAGCTTGGCTATTGTAAATGCTGCAGTGAACATAGGGGGTGCATATATATTTTCGAATTAGTGTTTTTATTTCAATAAGTACACAGAAGTGGAATAGCTGAGTTGTATAGCAGTGCTATTTTTAATTTTTTTAGGCACCTCTGTACTGTTTTCCACAGTGGCTGCACCAATTTACAATCCCACCAACAGTGCACAAGGGTTGCCTTTTTTCAACATCCTTGTCAACACTTGTTTGTTGACATTTGATAATAGCCATTCTGACAGGTGTGAGGTGATATCTCGTGTGGTTTTGACTTGCATTTCCCAGATGATTAGTGATGTTGAGCATCTTTTCATATGTTTGTTGGCTCTCTGTACAGGGTAGAGCTAAAGTAGTTTTAGAGTTGTGAATATGCAAAACACAGATTTAATTCTTTGTATTATCATATATTAATTTCCAGTGGGACAAAGATAGATTTATGAAAAACAATTTATTTCTGTATTATTTATTAACTATTGTATTAGTTTCCATACAAACAACTGTAAACCTACTTTTGTTCTGCTGTGTATGCCTTTGGAGAAATGTCTGTTCAGGTACTCTGCCCAATTTTTAATTGGATTGTTTGTTTTCTGATTTGTGAGTTGATTTCATCATATATTTTGGATATTAACCTCTTATCTGGTATATCATTAGGTTGTCTTTTTGTTTTGTTGATGGTCTTCTTTGCTGTGCAGAAGCTTTTTAGTTCCATAATGCTTTTGTTGCTGCTGCCTGGAGAGACATCTCCAAAAAAATATTGCTAAGATTCATATCAAAGGGTTTACTGACTATGTTTTATTCTAGGAGTTTTATGGCTTTTAAAGATTTATACTTAAGTCTTTAATCCATTTTGAGTTTACTTTTATATATGGTACAAGAAAATTGTCCAGTTTTATATTTTTGCATGTATCTGTTTAGTTTTCCCAACACCATTTATTGAAGAAGTTGTCTTTTCCCCACTGTGTATTCTTGCCTCCTTTGCCGTGGATTAAGTGACCATATAAGTGGGTTTCTTTCTGGTTTCTCTATTCTGTTCCATTTATTTATTTTTATTTTTATTTTATTATTTTTTTAAATATATTTTATTGATTTTTTACAGAGAGGAAGGGAGAGAGATAGAGAGTTAGAAACATCGATGAGAGAGAAACATCGATCAGCTGCCTCCTGCACATCTCCTACTGGGGATGTGCCCGCAACCCAGGTACATGCCCTTGACCGGAATCGAACCTGGGCCCTTTCAGTCCGCAGGCCGACGCTCTATCCACTGAGCCAAACCGGTTTCGGCTATTCTGTTCCATTTAGATATATATTTGTATTAATTTTAGATACATCTATTGAAAGCCCACTCTGCCAAGTTCTATGCTCTTTGAGATATTAACTTGGAAATTATTAATAAGGATCATCTCAGTATACTACACATGAATATAGATGATAGATAGATACATACATACATACATAGATGGATTTGAAAACATTGGTGTATAACAAAACCCATATTTACAATGTGCTTGTAGATGCTGTGAGAAAACCATGGAGGTGATGAGAAACTCTAAGGAAACACTGCTAACCATTGTGGAGGTAAAGTATATTTAAGGAAGTCTTTATTTCTCTACCTGTCAGGCTGTTAGCAGGTCACTGATTTGAGGATGAATGCCTCATTTCCGTGTGGTGGAGTGATGTGGGCTGCAGGAGGGGAGGGGCTTGCACACATGGGTGAATGGTGGTTTAGAATGGCTCCAGTTCCCTCCAGCTTCTTACCGTGTTACAGCCTAATAGTCATCTCTAGTCTTTATTACATAACTCAGCACTTTTATATCTTAGCCTTCTCGTTTTGTATTGTTTTCAGAATGGATTCCATTGCAGGATTAAGAGAAATCATTAGTTATCTCCCACCCCGAGGTTCAGAACCATTTAGTCTGGCAGATGGAGGTCAGAGTCAGCATTGGTAGTGGAGGGGCATGGCTGCAAGTGCAAACTGGCTTGCAGCCGGTGTTCCCTGCTGTCCAACCTTGGGGCATGCACACTGCACCAGGCTCACTGCCTCATGCTAAACGGCAGAAAGGGGAGGAAGTCGAGCACATTTCCAGTGCTCATGACCTTAGCTTTCCCCGGCGAGAACTGGGCAACTAAGGCAGGCGTTCACCACCCTGGTCGAGTATCTGCAGCAGAGACAGGGAGTCTTTCCTCCTCAGGGAAGCATGGGACGTGGAGCTTGGGCATGCCTCCCTCACATCCTTTAGCTTTTTGTTCCATTAACCTGGTGGTGCTGGCCCTGGCTGGACTTCAGTATCCCCTGGACTGCTTTTACAGAATATTGATGCTAACCAAATTCGAACATTTGTATTTTTTAAAAACTCTATGCAGCCAGGGTTGAGAATTAGTCCAATTCACCAACATTCACCTTTGAGCCTGTGGTCAACAAGGGTGGGTGTATCCTGTGTAGAGTGAAATTAACAGTCTGTTAGGGAGGTCCTGTGTCCACCTTATGAACCACGGAGATCTGTGGAATGCTGGTGGCAATACGGATTTTTGCTACCAAGGGGATCCCAGTAGTATGTTGATAATTTAAATAAAAGGCTGTACCCAAGGCTGAATAAAGATGCATTCCCTTTTCTTTCTCTTTCTTTCTTTCTTTCTTTCTTTCTTTCTTTCTTTCTTTCTTTCTTTCTTTCTTTCTTTCTTTCTTTCTCCTTCCTTCCTTCCTTCCTTCCTTCCTTCCTTCCTTCCTTCCTTCCTTCCTTCCTTCCTTCCTTCCTTCCTTCCTTCCTTTCTTTCTTTCTTTCTTTCTTTCTTTCTTTCTTTCTTTCTTTCTTTCTTTCTTTCTCTTTCTTTCTCTCTCTCTCTCTCTCTCTCTCTCTCTCTCTCTCTCTCTCTCTCTCTCTCTTCCTTCCTTCCTTCCTTCCTTCCTTCCTTTTTTAAATATGTTTTTATTGATTTCAGAGAGGAAGGGAGAGGGAGAAAGAGATAGAAACATCAGTGATGAGAGAGAATCATGGATTGGCTGCCTCCTGCACACCCCCTACTGGGGACGGAGCCCACAACCCGGGCATGTGCCCTGACCAGGAATCAAACTGGGACCTTCTGGTTCATAGATCGATGCTCAACCACTGAGCCACACCAGCCGGGCTCCATGTGTATCTTAAGATGTTAACCATAACACTAGACCTTGGGTATTGAGGAGCTTTCAATAAATTATACCTTTTTTTTCTCCCTTCAAAGTTGGAACTGAGAGAAAAAGCCTTAGAATAGGATGGAGTTCAAAATGTCAGGTTATTACTGATAAAACTGTTGGAGAACATGGCCTGCGAGTGAGATCCATATAGTCTTGTTAGTGCTGTCCACCTCCCATGACCTAACCTGTCCCACCTGAGGGAGAACAGGGCTTGCAGAGTACATGCCCTTATCCAGGACAGGAGAGAGAAGGAAAGGAAGTGACTGGTGCTTATCCCTTCTAATAGGTTAGTTTCACCCAGTAAAGAAACATGGGTCAAGATCTACCCCCACCAGGGAGGAAGAGTGACTCCAGAACGGGATAAGAAGCCCGGAGCATTATGTCATGTAGTTTCCTCCGTAAGGAAACAAGAAGCCTGTGCAATAAGTTTGTCCCTCCTGCAGTCGACTGCCGTATGACCGGCCGCTGTTATGTTTATAATACTGGTTATGCTGTTTATAGCGAACCCCATCAATGCACATTGTTCTTCTGATCCGTCTGTTCTCTCTGTCTAGGTCCTCCTGTACGATCCTCTCTTTGACTGGACCATGAATCCTCTGAAAGCTTTGTATTTACAGCAGAGGCTGGAAGATGACACTGAGCTTCACCCCACGCCCAATGCAGATGACCGAGAGTGCAAACGAAACCTCAGGTGAGCGGATTTTAGGAAAGAGCTATAGTCAGTTGTTCAGATCTTCCTATTCCCCAGGCCCTTTGAGCTGTTCCACCTCATTAACACCTTTGTGTTTTTGTCATTAGTGAAATTGACCAGAGTTTCAACAAAGTAGCTGAGCGTGTCTTGATGAGACTACAAGAGAAACTAAAAGGAGTGGAGGAAGGAACTGTGCTCAGTGTGGATGGACAAGTGAATTTGCTCATACAACAGGCCATGGACCCCAAAAACCTCAGCCGGCTTTTCCCAGGATGGAAAGCTTGGGTGTGATATTTGGCATATGAAATACCCTTGAACTCAACCTTCAGAGGTTATCTGTTGGCCATTATTTTTGACCCACCTCCATACTTTGAATATATGGTATTAATATTAGCTAAGCAAACTACTTACTGTGTTGTTTAAAAAGTGTTTCATACTCGCTTCAGTCACCTAAAGTTGCTTTGAGGTCTCAAGGGACATCTCTACTTGCACACTTTAGAAATAATTATCATTCATGCTTTACTTCTAGGCTAAACATTTATTTTTTTCTCCTCAAGTTCATGCCTGTATCATTTCCCGTAGAGTCACTGACTTATTTTTGCTTTAGCTGAAAATGGAAGCAGAGGAATGCCGGAATATCACTGACAGTTTCTCCTGCCTTATATATTAGAACCACTGGTTTTAATTAACATTTGTTTCCCAGATATTACATTTGAATGAAAATTATTTTATATTAACATATACAAGGAAGAAAAAAATTCAAAATTGTAACCATCTATATATCAGGGTAAAAACAACCTTAAAAATAAGAAACAATGTTGGAAACAGCAGCATTTAATAGGTTTGGGTTTTTAGTAGCAAGATCACTCAATGTTACTGAATAAAAAAAGTTGTATGGAGAAAAAACTTCAAGTATGATTACTATTATAAAAAGATGTATATTGAACCTACTCATTCTATCCTCTTTACCTTTTAAGCCCATCTGTGTTTTCCATTACTTTATATTTCTGTGATGCCTTCATCTCTGTCTTCTAGGTCATGAATTATCTTGTCAGCTATCTGTATAATCTCCTTTTAAAATTATTCATTGGGTTTCTTCTTTCAAAATTTGCTTTTAATTTCTAGCTGTGTATCATTCTTCAGATCTGCCTGTTGTTTCATGATGTCCTTTTAAAAAAACTTTTCAGTTCCTTTTGTGTCACTAATCACTTTAATTAAACATCCCTGTTTTATAGGCTAAAAGCTCTATTAAATCAAGTTCCTGTTGTTTGTGTGTGTTGGTCCTTATATATATTTGTAGACTGTTTACCCGTGTATTTTGTAAGTTTGAAAAGTGAGCTTATTTTCAGCAAGGCTTTCTCTGGGGGGATCGTGCGTGACCTGTGTTAAGAATAATTCCTTCGAGATAAATTTTGTGTCTTATGTCATATTCCCAGGGCTGTTACTAAGAACCACTGGATGTTAATTTCTTGGCTTCTGAGTTTCCTGACCTCAGAGTGTAAATACTGAGGAGACTCCCAGGCCAAGACTGACCCTTCCTCAGTGTCCTCCTGTGCTGGTGGGCAGAATGTTTCCTGGACCCCTTCCCTGAGGCTGCCCTCCTCATGTGTCCCAGCTTCATGTTGGGCTGCAGGGGAGGTGTGTTTTACTCCTACCCGCTGCCTTCTGCAAGTCCAAGGTTTCACCATTTCCCTTATAGACAGATGTTAAAGCAGAAACCCATAGGTTAGTAGAGTTGGCAGTGGAAACCACGTAGAGAAGCTACTAGAAAAGCTAATAAATTGAGACTAAACAGTTTGTCCAGATCAAGGAGATCATAGCCACCCCACCATTCTCTGTGCTAGTCATACCACCCCAAAGTATCTCCCTCATCAGTAGGTACGTAAATCCATGGTTATTATAGCATACACTTAGAATATGTACACTTAGAAATGCTAAGAATTTGAAATGGTCTAAAGCAAATAAATGCAAAACGAAAAAACTTTGAACTTACTAAAGATTTAAGTAAGCTGGTCTTTAAAAATATGGAATGCTAGTGTACTGGCTTGAAATATAGAGATATAATGCCATTTCACATTTTAATTGCACCTTAATGAAATTATATATTTTATATAGATTTATTTTAGGACTATTGAATGTATTTCTTTACTGTTACTGTTTCTGAATAAATAATTCTAAAAATGTGTGCTAAGACTCATTCATGTTATTCACATCTTTGAGTGTTCTGTGTGCCAGGCATGGTGCCGGGTCCTAGGGAAGCAGCCGTGAGCAAAGAGGGCACAGCCACCCTTACAGAGCTCAGTCTGGGCCAGGCAGGCAACAAAGGGGTGTGAACTGGGGAGCCTGCTGCACAGAACCAGCCAGGTAGGCGCATCTCAGTCTAAACAGTCTGGGAGTACTTCTTAATTACCCCATGACGAAAGGCAAATGAATGTTTTTTGGGCCTAGAGCAGTTTGCTGACCACTGGCCTAGAGAAAAATCTAATTGACATTTCTAAAGTCTAAAAGATGGGTACTAGAATATGACAAATATGAAGATCCTGGTATCTTAAATGTGAAGTTAGTATACCACATGCTTATTTTCCTTTTTTTAATTGAATTTATTGGGGTGATAACCTATATAATAAAAGCTTAATATGCAAATCAACCGAACCATGGCACGACCAGTCACTATGACATGCACTTACCACCAAGGGGCAGGAGCTGTTGCCAGCCAAGGCGGGTGCCAGAGGGGTCCCCCCGATCGCCCCACCGGTCGCCCCACTGAGGGAGGTGACCAGCGGTGCCAGCAGGGGGCAGGGCTGGCTGGTGAGCGGGTGGCAGCGGAGTGTGGGGCCGGTGAGCGGGCGGCGCCAGGCCAGCCAAGGTGAGTGCCAGCTAAGTCCCCCCATCCTCCCCCCCCGATCACTCCACCAGTCGCCCCACAGATCGGCCCTGATCTCCAGCCAGGCCTAGGGACCCTACCCGGGCATTAATTTCATGCACCGGACCTCTAGTTGATTAATAAAACCAGGTGTACAGCTCTTTAACACATCATCTGCATAGTGCATTGTGCACTCACCACCCAAAGTCAAGACTTTCTGCCACCATTTACCTCCCCTCTCCCCTCTTCCACCTTTCCCTACCCCTTTTTCCCTCTGGCAATCACCAGACTATTGTTTGTGTCTACTTTTTTTTCTTAACCCTGTCACATTTTTCACGCAGATCCCCAACCTTTCTTCCCTCTAACAGTTGTCAGTGTTCTCTGTGTCTGAGTCTGTTTCTATTTTGTTAGTTTATTTTGTTCATCAGATTCCACATAAAAGTGAAATCATATGGTACTGTCTTCCTCTAACTGGCTTATTTCACTTAGCATAATACTCTTTAGATCCATCCACACTGTTACAAAAGGTAAGAGTCCCCTTTTAAAATATGTGTATATATATATATATATATTGATTTCATAGAGGAAGGGAAAGAGAGAGAAACATCAATGATGAGAGAGAATCATTGATCAGCTGCCTCCTGCAAGCCCCACACTGGGGATCAAGCCCACAACCCGGGCATGTACCCTGACCGGGAATCAAACCATGACCTCCTGGTTCATAGGTTGATGCTCAACCACTGAGCCACACCAGCTGGGCAAGAGTCCCTTCTTTTTTATGGTTGAGTAGTATTCCATTGTGTAAATGTACTGCAGGTTTTTTTTATCCACTCATCTACCGATGGACACTAGGGTTGCTTCCAAACCTTGGCTATTGTAAATAATGCTGCAATGAACATATGTTCTTTCAAAGTAGTGTATCAGGTTTCTTTGAATATATTCCCAGAGTGGAATTGTTGGGCAATAAGGCAGTTCCATTTTTAGTTTTTTGGGGAAACTCCATACTGTTTTCCACAGTAGCTGCCCCAATCTGCATTGCCACCAACAGTACATGAGGGTCCCCTTTTCTCTGCATCCTCGCCAGCACTTGTTGATTTATTGATGGTGTCCATTCTAACGCATGAGGTGATATATCATTGTGGTTTTAATTTGTATTTCTGTGATGATTAGTGGTGTTGAGCAGCTTTTCATGTCTTTTGGCCATCTGTATGTCCTCTTTAGAGAAGTGGCAAATACGTTCTCCTATTCCATGGGTTGTCTTCATTTTGTTGATGGTTTTCCTTGCTGTGCAAAAGCTTTTTAGTTTGATGTAGTTTCATTTGTGTATTTTTTTCTTTTGTTTCCCTTGCCTGAGATATATCAGAAAAAATACTGCTATGAGAAATATCTGAGACTTTACTGCCTATGTTTTCTTCTAGGATTTTTATGGTTTTCTGACTTACATTTAAGTCTTTAATCCATTTTGAGTTTATTTTTGTGTATGGTTTAAGGAGGTGATCTAGTTCCATTTTTTTGCATGTACCTGTCTAATTTTTCCAACACCATTTATTAAATAGACTGTCTTTACCCCCTTGTATGTTTCTGCCTCCTTTGTCAAATATTAATTGGCCATAAAGGCATGTATGGGTTTATTTCTGGGCTCTCTATTCTGTTCCATTGATTTATATGTCTGTTTTTATGTATCATGTTTTTTTTTATTACTATGGCCTTTTATAGTTTGATATCAGGTAGCATGATACCTCCAGCTTTGTTTTTTCTCACAACTGCTGTGGCTATTTTGATTCTCTTGTGGTTCCATATAAATTTTTGGAATGTTCTAGTTCTATAATATTGAATCTATAGATTGCTTTGGGTAGTATGTACATTTTAATGATGTTAATGCTTCCTATCCATGAACACAACATATGCTTCCACTTGTATCTCCTTCACTTTCTTTCTTCAGTGTCTTATTTTTTTACTACAGGTCTTTTGCATCCTTGGTTAAAGTTATTCCTAGGTATTATTTTATGCAGTTGTAAATTGGACTGTTTTCTTTGTTTCCTGTTCTGAGAGTTCATTATTGGTGTATAAAATGCCACTGATTACTGAATATTAATTTTGTATCCTGCTACTTTACTGAATTCATTTATCAGTTCTAGTAGTTTTGGGTGAGATTTTTAGGGTTTGCTATGTACAGTATCAAGTCATCTATATATATAAAAGCCTAAGCGATCATTACAACCGAACAACTGGTCGACCAGTCGCTATGATGCACACTGACCACCAGGGAGCAGACGCTCAATGCAGGAGCTGCCCTCTGGTGGTCAGTGCACTCCCACAGCCAACCTCCCATGGCCGGCCAACCTCCTGCGGTCCCTCCCCCCAGGCCGGCCGGCCCTAGGCGAGATGGCCCCAATGGGCCTCAGTCACCAGCCAGGCTAAGGGGCCCTACCCATGCACAAATTCATGCACTGGGCCTCTAGTTTATGAATAATAATAGTTTTACTTCCTCCTTTCCAATTTGGATGCCTTTTTTTTCTTCTTGTCTGATCACTGTGGCTAGGACTTCCAGTACTGTGTTGAATAAGAGTGGTGAAAGCGGACATCCCTGACTTGTTCCTGACCCTAAGGAAAATGCTTTCAGTTTTTGACCACTTAGTGTGATGTTGGCTGTGAGTTTGTCATACATGGCCTTTATTATATTGAAGTAAGTTCCTTCTGTTCCCACTTTGCTGAGAGTTTTTATCAGTAATGGGTACTGGATTTTATCAGATGCTTTTTCTGCATCTATTGATACGATCATATTATTTTTATGCTTCATTTTGTTTATTTGGTGTATCACATTTGATTTGTGAATATTGTACCAACCTTGCATCCCCGTAATAAATCCCACTTGGTCATGGTGTATGATCTTTTTAATGTAGTCCTGGGTTCAGTTTGCTAATATTTTGTTGAGGACATGTTTATTTTATTTATTTTTAATATTTTTAAATCTTCACTTGAGGATACATTTTTATTGATATTTAGAGAAAGAGGAAGGGAGAGGGGGAGAGAGAAACATCCATGTGAAAGAGACACATTAATTGGTTGCCTCCCGTACGTACCCCGACCACGGATCGACCTTTCAGTGGGCGATGCTCCAACCAACTGAGCCACTCCAGCCACGCAAGGACATGTTTATTTTTTTAATTAAAAAAACAACAGCATAGCCAGTTTGCTCAGTGGTTAGCATTGGCCCACGGATTGAAGGGTCTCAGGTTCGATTCGGGGTCAAGGGCATGTACCTTGGTTGCAGGCTCAGTCCCTGGCCCTGATCTGGGTGCATGTGGGAGGCAACCAGTTGATTGATGTGTCTCAGATCGATGTTTCTCTCTCTGTCTCTGCCTCTCCCTTCCACTCTCTCTAAAAACCAATG